ATGGTCATAACGCCCTCAGTCAGATGGAGCATGGGGATGCTTCTGGAAGCTGCCCAAGGAGAATCACAAGTTCAGTTCAAACTTGTGTTGGTTGGTGATGATGGTGCTGGAAAAACGACATTCGTAGAACATCATTTGACTGGTGAATTGGAGAAGTATGTGACTACGTTGGAGGTTGATGCCCATTGCCTTGTGTTCCACACCAGAAGAGGACCATTGAGTTCAATGTATGGAATCCAAGAGGTCAGGAGAAATTTGGTAGACCAAGGAGAGATGGCTGTTATATATGAACCCAGTGTGCCATCGTAATGTCTGATGTAACATCGAGCATTACTTCCAAGGGTGTGCCTCACTGGCATAGAGATTTGGTACAAGTATGTGAAAACATCCCCATCACGTTGGGTGGCATCAAAGTGGGTATTAAGGACAGGAAAGTTAAGGCAAAATCCATCATTTTCCATCGAAAGAAGAATCTTCAGTACTATGACATTTCTGCTAAAAGTAACTACAAACTTTGAGAAGCTCTTCCTTTGGCTTGTTTGAAAACTAACTGGAGACCCTCACTTGGAGTTCGCGGCCATGCCTGTTCTTGCCCCACCAGAGGTTGGCACGGACACAGTTCTGGTAGTGCAGTATGAGGCTGGTAGAGGGGGGCCCCCACAGCGTGCCCAGAAACACCATCCCCACATGTACCAGATATCTCTATCCTTCTGCGGCTGGTGCGCAATTTCATGGCACCCACGCCAACCACAGGTTGGCGGCTCTCTAATGCATGTGCCTTCTGCCAATTAGACCACCTTTATTTTAAGTGCCTAATAGGAAGAGACACATTTGGTTTCAAAATCCATTTGCATTACAATAAGAAATTTCAACATCTCACCTGTTCACTAAAGGAAGGGCTGCTAGATGCTTTAAATATAATTCCAACTGTTGCACAATTTTAAATGGATGATAAAAAAAAAGTCAATTGCTTACCTGTGCTAACAAAGTTTCTCCTCAATGGTGACTATCAAGCATTCAAGTGTTAATCATCAAAAAGTCTAGATCAGGAATTATGTGTGGCCTCTGCAAGCATTAAACCTCATATAAAAAGTTAAGTTGATGAAAGCAAACTGTGCTAGATTGATTAAAGCCCACCAATCCCTCCCATGCTCCTTTGCACTGTGTAGTAGGTCCTCCCACGTCTTCCTCCCATCTAGGAGCCCGGCTATTTCTCCATCCCCCCACCCGAGAGTCTGGGCTGGCCCTGTGACCTGCTTCTGCCAATAGAAAGAGGTGGATGTGACTTGGGGCTCCCACAGTTAAGACAGGAAGCTTGAGGCTTCTGCCTTGATTCCCTTAGAAGGTTCGGGTTGCTACGTAAGAGTCCATCTAGCCTACTAGAACAGGAGAAGCCATGGAGGAGAAGAGACTTGAGGTGTCCTAGTCCACAGCCAGACACGCAAGTGAAGCCATCTTGGACCTTCTAGCCCAGCTGAGCCTCCCTCTTGAATGAGTCCAGTCAAAACCCGCAGAGAAAGTGCCCGGCCAAGTGAGCACAATCATGACAGAGCATGGACCATTGCTGTTTTAGGCCAGTACACTTTGGGGTGGCTTGTTACACAGCAAAGGCTAACTAAAACACAAGCTCAATTTATCATTAAAAAAATGAAAGGATAGGGGCACCTGGGTGGCTTAGTCTGTTAAGCCTCTGACTCTTGATTTTGGCTCAGGCCATGACCTCAGGGTGGTGGTATCGAGTCTTGCCCCGGGCCCCACACTCAGCTTGGAGTCAGCTTGAGATTCTCTAACTCTCCCTCTGCCCCTCCCCACCCTGCTCTCTCTCTCTCTCAAATAAATAAATAAATCTTTAAAAAAAAAAATGAAAGTATAAGAACAGGAGGGGGAAGTGGGTGGGGAGAGAGATGAAACAAAATTGACCCTACCTTGATAATTGTTGAAGCTGAGGATTATCTACTCATCTGTTTTTTTATATGTGTGAAATTTTCAGTAGTATAAAGGAGAAAATAAAGGAAGGGTTGTGAAGACTTCATTAGGAAATTGTATATGCCTGCTGGGTATTTAACACCATTTTTAATAGTTTATATTTCATTTTCTTTACATGATTGCATAATACACACAATGAAATCATTCTTTCCTCCACCAGGCCCCATTTCGACTCTCCAAATACTCTCCAGTTCACCCCAGGAAGTCATTGGGATGTTATATAATATAAATTTTCTGGGTGTCTCATGAGGTGAATAAGGATGAGGAGCCTGGTGTGACCCCACATCCAAAAACCTTGCCAAAGGCAGCTGGCGCCCCCAACAGAGCTCCAACAGGGCAGGCGCCCCTGGCCCCCACCCCTCCATCCTTCCCGGAGTGGGAGGAGCCGATGAGGAAGGCCCGCCTCCCGGCCCGCCCGCTCGGCTCTCCGGCCCGCCCTCCTGCCCACGCTCGGGCTCCGGCAGTGACTGTGCCCAGGCCCGCCTGCCGGATAGCGCGCGCCCCGTCCTCGGGGTGGGAGTGAGGGTGCTGGGAGGGGCCGGAAAAGGCGGGCCAGCCTGAATTACGAACCGCTCCAAACCATCCGGGGAGGGGCCAGAAGCTTCTCTTAGACCGATCAGGCAGTCCTTCCAGCCCCTCCTCCAGCCTTGCGAGGGGACGGGTGGTGGGCGCACCGCCGTGGGTTCCCAGTCGCCCTGGGACGCCCCCGCTTTGGGGAGCGGGGAACCTCTGCCCCTCTGAGTCACACTCTCCGGGAGCCCCGGCACCCCTGAGCTCCGATTCTCGACGGCTGTACACCCGCGTGCAGCCCCGAAGTGAAGGGGTGACGGAGCGCGGCGTCGAGAGCCGGGGGCGGGACCAGCGCTGTCCCCGGCGGGGCGCCGGGCGGCCGGGGAGGTTGGGGGGGGGGGCGCGGCCCGGGCCCGGCCGTGAGCGCCCCCCCGAGGCCGTCTGGAACCCGATTTTCCACCGCCTTATCGATGCCGTCCCGCTTCCTAACGTCGTTTGGAATGACTGATGCGAGCTCTCGGGCCTCGAAGCCACTGTCCCAGGAAGCCCTCTTTCCTTGCAAGGGCGCCCAGACCTCGCGGCGCGAGCGGGGAGGGAGAGAGGGAGGGAGGAGGGAGAGAG